TACAAATGTATGATATTATTATGAGCTGGCTGGCAGTTCACTTGACGTTCTACACAGCAAATTTCTTACAAATCCTCTATAAAAAATTAAGGAAAGGTTATAATTAAACTACAGAACATCAAATATATGGTACAATTTTTACCTGAGAGGTAAAAAATTTTGATGGGAATCCATCACTGGTGGAGAAATAATGCTGACTGTATTGCCAAAACGCACTTCGGTGGCGGTACGTGATCTAATCGATGTAGCCGGAGTATCGGTTTCATCATTATTTCCCAATACACGTCGCATTAGGCCAGCAGTCAACTCTTCTAATGAACTTAAAGACAAATTGAGAGGCTGTTGCGATTGTGATTGTGTCTCATCACTCACATCAGCTGAAGTTTTATGACCAGAACGCATAGACGCCGTTTCACTATTGTCAACTCTTATGGAACATAAATTAATTAATTTAGTAAATTAGGGATATGTTCTAGAAACTCTTCAAACCCATTAACAGTTTAAACTTATGAAACTCAATCAGTTAGAAATCCTTGAAAATTTTAAGTTTAAATTTGAAAAAAGTATTTAGATCATAATCAAGTTCAAAATGCTTGGGTATGACATCAGATTAGTTTTTATAAATAAAAAAAAAATGTTTTTTAAATGTACGCTTAATGATCCACTATTTTAATTTAATTAATTTAAAATATTTTTTACAGTCTACATACACTACAGTTCAAACTTAGGAAGCACAAAAACATTTTAAAATAAGATATAAGTTTGAGTTCCTGTAAGCTTAAATTCAACTCATTCTTAATTTGTGTTAAATAAATACTACAGTTTTTATATTAATTTTGTTGTAAATGTATGCTTGAATTTTTGGTAAAAATTATCACTATATAGTTAATTGATATATGAAATAAATAATTACTTTTGAGCTAATAAACTGCCAGCTAATGCAACAGTACTTGCTGATTCTCTATCAGCATCTCTTCCTAATGCAGTATCACCATCCCAATCATTCCAGAATGATGGTTCTCCAATGGAAGGATTGCCAATTTCAGCACCATGACTAACTGTATCACCATCTATAAACAAAATAAGACTTATATCTGAACAATTTTTTTAAATATATTAATATTAAGTTTTTACTTACCAGGGGTTGTGAAGTAATCAATATTAACTGTTTTAGGAGCACTGTGCTCTTCATCAAAATCAAAATGTACTCCATTTGATGATGTGGTAACTCCGCAGCCACCTGAGCGACACAAAGATACTGGAACTACACCGTAAACATAAAATAATAATATTGGAACACCGATCCCAACAGCTAAACTGGCCATAACTGGTGCAGCAATCAACTGAAAGATATAAAAATGTATTTTTAATTTATTAAGAACCATCCCAAAAAATTGACATCTTAAAAATTATCTATTTAAAGAAGACTTAAATCATACAAATATTTTATGCACGCAGACTAGTTTTACATGTATGCTGGGTTTTTAAGTTTTGTTTGTAATATTATATGGTACTTTATCCTATGACCTGAGCCATTCTGGTTCAATTTAAATAGCCCTAAATAAACTGAGAAAAAATAATTTTAAATAATAATAGTGTATTTTTATAATTTAATGTGTTATAATTAAATTTAAAGTAGTAGAAAAACTTATAATTGAAATATTTTTATGGAATCAACATTTATCTCTTTATATAAGCTCGGTATGGTTTTAAAGTACAATGGATCCAATAAATGGAATAATAACTATGATTGATTAATAATATAGGTCAGAACCTTGTAACACTAAAACTTTGTAAATAAAATTATAAGATAAATTAGCGATTTCAGCAAAAACAACAGAAGGTAGAATATAAATAATTATGTCAATTTTCACTTAAAATTAAAATTAAAATGTGCCTTGAATATATGTAAATCTCAGTTGATTGACAAAAATTCATATTCAAGGTAACTTTTTACTGAGCTAAGATTTGTATGCAATAAAAATAAAAGAAATAAACAATGAATTTCATGATAATCTCCATAAAAAAAATTAGTAACAGAAAAGAATTTTAAGAGGTTCTTTGAATATTTTTGTTATTATTACTTTTGAATGAATCAAAAGCATTCTTACATATTTTCCGCCTTAGTTTAAACTCATTTAATGAATTAGTATAATTAAAATCAACTACCTCTAAAGAATTTTACGATATTATAATTTTTTAACGAATTTCGCATATATAAAATAGCATAGATTAGAATACTGTTAATTTACTTTAAAACTAAACTAATGTAAAAAAAACCACATACAAACACAGATAATGTTTATACCATCAAGTTTCATAAGAAGTCGATTAATTCTAATTTTTAAACTAACGAAGCTACACGTGATCTGYGAGGGTAAATTTGGTATGTTATGCACTTGTAAGACGGAGACAACAAATGCCAATGTTACCGTACGTCCTCTAGAGAATTAAAGCACGCATATTTTTCATACGTATTAGAATTTTAGACCAATAAACGTATTAATTACAAATCTTTGAAATGTCTGATTTTAATTTATTAAGTATGAATTTAAAAAAAATATTTAGACTTTAAAAAAAGTTTATTTAACATTTTAAAGGACCTAAAAATTAAGATATTTTTGTCAAAAATTTCATATAATAATAGTATTACATATTTACATTTGTATTTATTTTAAGCTGCACATCTGATTTAAATCAGAAAAGTGAATCCTAAAGAGCATGATCTAGATTCTAGTAGCTTATTAATTCAACAATTTTCCGAAATTACTATTGGAATTCAGGAAGTATGTTCAATTTACCATCTRATTTAGTTATGCAAACCAGAATATATTTCATTTATCGTGATGTATATTGTCGTATTGACACGCCCTTGCGCATGCGAGAGTTCCCCATCCGGTGGTAGTTGTTTAGTGTAGCGTGATAGCGATTTTCGGAAACACGCAATAATAATTATGTCCATCTACTACTCAGTAGTTCAGTACCTATACTTATGCATTTACATAGTCCAAATGTACGTCATATGAATCGCCTTAATAATCCGTATTAAACTCTTAAAACATAAAACGATCCAGTCCCCTTAAAGAAGAGAACATTTTAATCAAAGTTCGATTTTCAAAATTATAACTATGAATTTGAATACACAATATTTGTTCTTTTTAAACCTATCTTTCTAACTCAATTGAAAGTAAAAAGAAAATTTGGGATGTGATCAGACCGGTWAAAAAGTACTAATACTAAAAAAAAAAATCAAAATTCGATACATTGATGAGGCATGATTATTTTTTCTGTGGAATAATCTTCTGATGAATAATGATACAGATTGTTTATTTCTTAAAAAAAAAAAATAAATAAAACTATAATATTAATATATTATAGAATTACGACAAATAGGAAAAACTGACAGTGGAACTCTTAATTATACAAAATTATCTTAATAAGTCTTAATAGGACTATAATATGTCGACCACATCTGAACATTTTTGTTTTGATAAAAAATTCAAAACCAACAACAAAATTTTGAGTTAGATATTCTGTCTCAAAAAAATTTAATCAAACTTCAAAAATGAAAAAAAAACATAAAACGTTAGAAGAGAGATAAAAAGTGCAAAAGAGCTAATTACATTTTCAAATTTTAAATATAAAAAGAAACGAACTGTTTACGAACTTATAAATCAAAATAAATTAAAAATTTTAGTAATTTTAACTAATTTTGTAAAAATCGTAACCCAAAGCGTTATTTCTACTGCTTATCGTGGGTAAAGTGTAATATACAAATACAAAAAATTTAAGAAAACACACACACACATACATGGTGTATACAACGTACATACGTTCAGAATCTGAAATAGATCGTTTGTATCAATATTAGGTGATTCGTGTGGATTACAAATCAAATTTTAAAAAGAATTTTGCAAAAAAACATACCAACCAACGCATATAAAACCTAGCCCTATAATTAGTATACTATACYTACATGGCTACACAATAAAATGAACGACTCTTATAAAATTAAATCAAAATAAATAAATTTCTGTGTAATAGTGAACAATATGTGCCTTTTACTGTATGGGAATTGATTTAGATAGGCACTAAGAGAACGAGAACGSAACATCAATACATACATAAAATTAAGTTATATATAGGTTTATATAAGCATATTAAGCACAGTGATTTAGTCAAATTATACAATTTTACAATAAACTGGCCTTAATTTTTTTTTACTAGCAAAACCACAYCTTTTCATCGAAATTTAAAAGTATTAAACATGTATGTTTCGCGTATCATTTATATTTCATATTGTACAGTAAACAATAATCGAATAAAATATTTCCATATACCGAACAAAAAAAACAAAAATATGTGTTGATTTATTTGACATAGGTTCAATACAAACAACAAAACAAAAATGTTTTTTATATCTGGATTGGTATTTCAGCTATAGAGATGAAAACTATATACTAACTCCAATATTTAGAATTCAGTAATTTATAAAGCCAAATCCTCCTCTACTCAGCAATCGCCGACCATAGTACGCGTATTTACAACATCATAACATTTCATCGTATGKAAATTAATTAAAATTACTATCGGTTTTTCATCTCTCGTTATTTGCTTTGCGCAATCTCATCTCTCTATCGTCCCAAAATTACGTCACTGTACCGCTGGTCCAACACCGCGGTATTGATGGGTCGCAGCACGGATGACGTAGTACGCTATTGCACACACCCATGGCTGTAGTCTGGGGAGAAGCGAGGCGGCGGGAGCAAGCGTAAGATGACGGAAGAGACTGCGCAGTGCAGAAGGGAGATCGTATTGTACCAGCGGCGGGGAGAGATCGCGATCTGCCGACGTTTCCACGTTGTTTCCAGTGCGGGGGAGGGGACTGAGTCGGCGGTTGCCGATACTGGGATGAGGGGCGGTTAAGGGTGGCGGCGGTGGCAGTGAGGGGACCCAGGGGATGCAGGTCGTCGACACGCTCAGACTTACACACGCGCGCGCACGCAGTCGCGCCGCCGCCTTCATAAACGCGCGCGCGGACGWGGCCAGTATTGTCGTGTAATACGCGTACTACACACCGCCGCCACACGGTCAGACGTCGAGTGCTGTCCATACGCCCCCGACCTCGAGGCATCGTTAGCGATCCTCGGCCATGTCGTCAGTAGCCGCATCAGCCGCCGGCGATGACGACGACGAGCATCAGAGGCAGCCGCTGCCCGCGGACCCGGACTGGTTATCAGGCGTCATCAGCCGGCTGATCGGCCAGCCGCGGGACGCGGTCACTGTGATCTGTGACCGGACCATCGCCACGCCCGCGGTGTCTGACCCACACAACGTGCTCAGCTCTATAGTGGCCGTCCACATCGTGTACGCGGTGGACGGTGTCCCGGGCACAGACTCACTGGACGTGGTCATCAAGAGCCTGCCACAAGAACCTTACTCCAGGGCGTTCGTACTCGAGGCTCAGTTCGACTACAGAGAAGTTCACTTTTACAACACGGTGGGTCCTCTTCCTCCACC